TAACATGTAGAAACTCACAAGAAACCTGCTGACATTCAGGGTCAAGAACCACCAAATCATAGTTACAGCAAGTCCCTAGGTCAATAGTATCTCATTTCCTATTGGGACCTCTACAGAAAAATTTAAGTCACCAACTGCAAAGCTGACGCTTCTAACATCTGGGGAAAGTTCTAAGTGAACCGCTAGTTTAGTACCATCACAAGAATAACTGATTGGATCAGATTCTCTGTTAACAGTTTAAGAGGTGTGGTCTGCCTTAAGGCCTTTATACTGTCTGTCCCCTCTGCCTAGACCTTGATGTTCCCCATGTGTCCTCATGGCTAACTTCCTCACTTCTGTCAAGGTTTTGCTTTACCTATATTAGCTTCTCATTCTCAGTGAAGTCTGTCCTGACCAGTCAATTAAAAATTCTAACACTTTCTCCTCTCAATCCACCTCAACCTGCTCTTTCTCTTTTCTATACCACTAACCACCTTCCAACATCCTATGTATTTTTATGCTGATTGCTTACTGTCTATCACCACTAGAACATAAACTCCCCAAAGAATCTTTGTTCACCAAAAAAAAAAAAAATACCAAGAGCCTAGAACTGTGCCTGGTACAAAACAGATGCTAAATATTACGACGTAAATTCAAAATGCAGATGGTACTTTCACAAATGTACCGAATAATCAAATTTAGTAAGAATGGGGGCATCTGGGTGGTTCAGTTGGTTAAGTGTCCGACTACTGATTTCGGCTCAGGTCACATCTTACAGTTTGTGAGATCGAGTCCCAAATCGGGCTCTGCACGGTTGGGATTCTGTCTCTCCTCTTCCTATGCCCCTTCCACCCCCTCCCCGCTGGCCTGCATGCATGCTCACACTCGCTCTCGCTCTCTCTCTCAAAAGAAATCAACGTTTTTAAAAAACCGAGTAAGGATGATTAAACACTCGCCTTTCTGAAACCAAAAGTCAAAAGATTTCTCAGCGCTGGCATGTATGGACAGAGCAGGCATTTCATGAGTCTGCGACACTGACCTTCAGTGCTAAATTTAGTGCCCTCGGTGTTTCTGCGATTCCTAGTTACCAGTTCAGCTTCACCTATCTAGGATGTGCACGTCAAGAGCGCTCCTACAAACTCAAGTATCTACTCACAGTAAGAAGTGAACAAATCTTGATCAGCTTCTCCGTCTCCAGGAAACAGAGGTGGGCTATGAATGAGTTGAGAGCAAGCTGATAGAGAAACACTTCACAACTGCGGGGCTATGGGATTTCTAGGCAATTTAAGTTTGAGGGGAGGGCTTCAGCGGGGATACGGGGTAGTACACAGAGACAGGTGCTCTGTACTAGCCCAGCGGTGAAAGGCAAGGACGAACACTGGAACACATGTGCTGCACTCCTCCAGGAGGAAAAGAGCTAAGACAGAGAGAGGATAGTGAAAACCATACTTCCCTTGGCTCTAGAGCCCCCAGTCCTTTTTCCTATGGGTACAGGAAAATGGTTAAAAACAAGAGCTAAATGTACATATGGAACAACAGAGACAGCTGTTCTCAACTTAATGTACTTAATTAATCTGAACTAAAAAATACATTAAAAAAAATTTTTTTAACGTTGATCTATTCCTGAGAGACTGAGACAAGACAGAGCACGAGCAGGGGAGGGGCCAGAGAGAGGGAGGCAGAGAATCCGAAGAGGGCTCCAAGCGGTCAGCACAGAGCCCGACGCAGGGTTCGAACCCACAAGCTGTGAGATCATGATCTGAGCCAAAGTCGGATGCCCAACCGACTGAGCTACCCACGCACCCCCCTAAAAACTACAATTTTAATGAAAACTATGGGCCTTGGACTCTGAAGGCCTTGAAAAGTATGTGAAACAAGAAACACACCACAGTCCCATAAACCTGCATTTCATTACTGCTTAAGGATTTTGACTAGTGGTTAAATAGTAATAACTCAGAAAAGTCCCCAAGATGAAATTACCACCTGAGCATATTTCTAATACTCTCATGATTGCCAATTAGGAAGTTCCATGCAAAAATGAAAGATTATATTAACATATATCTTTAAATAGTCCTTTCAATCATCACTCAGTAACAAGGATATGAAATCAGTAAGTCAATCAGGAAAAATAACCATCTGCCTCCAAAAACTTATAGCCTGAACCACAAATGATAAATACCACTTAACAATACACACAGAGAGCTTTCACTAAATGCTTGGTGTGCTATATCTGCACTCAAGACCCTTCATCAAGTGTATTTATGTGATCCTGCCTACTAATCAGGTTGTTTTTATTCCTCTTGAGGTCAATTCTTATTTGTGCATATAGGGCTGTTTTTTTAAAACCAAAGGGCCTCTCCTCAACAGAGGCACCCAAGAGTTTAAGTTCACCTCTTCATTCGGGCAGTTTCAAATGTTTGATCATTTTAGCATTTATTTCTGTAAAGCTGGCCGGTTTTAAACTAATTCCAAAGTACCATCATGGTTAGCTCTGTCACACAGTGTGCCTAAATTTAATTCTTCAATATTTTCATTAAGAGAAAAAAACTAGTGCTTTGGGGATGACCATTACTTAAAAGCTGAGTTTCAGAAAATTTACAGAACCTTTAGCCCTCTGTGCACATGTTTACCCAATACTCACAACAAATTCTGCAAACTTAAAAAGCTTTTTTGATCCACCAACCATTTAAAACCATCTTCTAATTGATTAAAAGCCAAATCATCAAGAAGGATCACTGCCTTTAATACATTTTAATAAATATAACTTAAATTTTCTTTTAGCCAGCTAGTCCAAGTAGGCAGGCAATGTGGGAAGAATTATCACTCACCTTAACATTAATTACAGTTTATCCTGAAATAACTCTTAGTGAAAGTGAATGGGATATGCAATGACAGCCCTAAGTGGTAACTTATTTATATATTTATAAAATGCATATTTCTTATTTGTATTCATTGTTTTCTGTTTATTTTTAAAAGCAAGGGAATCCAGAATCCAAGAATTTATGTGCATGACATAATAATTGCTCATTAAATACTGGTCAATAAATAAATAAATCTCAGTTGTGTTATTGTCTCTCCTACTTGTATTTGCTTATCTTATTATTAAAATTTTAATAGTCTGTGAAAAAAAATAAAAGCAAGGGAAGGAAATTAACTGACAAAATTACTATTGGAACTTTGCATTACTGGAGTTTTACGATTATTTTAAACTGCTCATCACGAACAATCTGATTTATCCTTAAAGTACCTGAGGTTAGGACTATTTAATCATGCTATGAATCAGCAAATTTGTTAAACTCCTGCTTTTAAGACTACCAAAACTTGCCTAATTCTCTCACACCTCTATCGGGGGAGATGGCGGAAACTATTATATGCATGTTTTAAAACTTTGTAAGTTTCAAAACCTGGACAATTACTCATCAGGATTATCTATCTCTTTAAAGACAATCGGTAGACATTTTCAATCATTACTCCTCATTCCGGATGCCCCTGCCCCTCTTTTCGTATGCTATATTAGCATTCAACCCTTATTAAGCACCACTGTGTGCAAAGAGAAAGGATGATACCAAGCAAAAGAGCATAAGGCTCGGCCTCATTTTATTCGTGAATAAATACACAGCAGTCGTGATTTATTCTCACAACTTTGTAGAAACGTGAGTTGCATCCACATGGCTGAATCCACAGCATTCATTTGGAAATGAATTAATGGTTAATTTACAGATTCTCCTGAACAGACAGCCCCGATGGGGCAGCACGCGGTACCCCATCTTCCAGCCCACGCAGGACAATTCGTGGGCGCCAGCCACACCTTCTGCAGGTGGCTGGATCGCCCGAGCCAGGAGCCCGACCCACCTCCCCCCGCAGGGACTCCGGACAGGAGTCCGTAAATGCGTGCAAGGACTTCGGCGAATTCAAGGACTTGTTGAAGGGCCCCGGGGTCCTGGGCAGGAAGGGAAAGCAGCCGGCCCGCGGGGCGCCCCCTCCCCCGCGGCTACCGAGTCCCCAGCGCCCCGGGCGCTGCGCAGGCCGCCGCCGCCGATCCCGGGCGCAGCCGGCGCACCTCGGGCCTAGCACCATTTGAAAGGCAAATCTCAGAGCCGGGGCACATTTAAATGCCCGGCCGCGGCCCCGGGGGATTGCTCTCCAGCAGACACAGCCGCAGGGGCCTCCGGGGCCGCCCGGCCTGGGGCGTTGGGCGCGGCCCGCTGGCGCCCCCGGGACCTCAGCGCGCAGCGCCCCGGCGTCCGCGCCAGGCCAGGGCTGGGGCGGGTGCCCGCGGCCCCCAGGCCCGCGGCCCCGGCCCGGCCGAGCGAGCCCCGCGGCGCCGGGAGAGAGGGCTTGAGCGGGCGCCCTCCGCCCGTGGCCGCCGGCTCCCGCCCCCTCCCGACGCACCACACCTAGCAACCCGCGCTGACAGGACGCAGTGGCGGCGGCGGCGGGAGGAGGAAGCGGAATGGCTGCCGCGGTGGAGCCACCCCCGCCCCCCCCCCGCTCCCACCTCCCAGCGGCTGCAGCCGCCGCCGAGCCCTGACAGCTCGAGCCGGGGCGGAAGCGGCGGGCGGCGTGCAGCGCCCGCCCCCCGCCGCCCCCGGCGCTTCGGGCCGCCCGGACCACCGGGCCAACTAACTCCGCGCCCCAGCCCAGCGCCG